AAAATATTATTAATTCTATTACTAACTAGATCAGGCCCGTTGGGATACACACACCAAATATTTGCATAAGATATATTTTTCATGAAAATTTGAATTATGTATTCAGATCACAACTGAATATTCCTATATTTTTTTATTGATTTATTTTTTTTTCAATTCACTCTTTTCTTATGTGTAAATTTATACTCAAAAGTTTCAACCGGAAAAATAACGAATTACACGTTATGATATACGAAACAGATATTTTTCGATTTTTTTCAGTAGTCCTACTAAACGCAAAAATAAATAGAAATCGATGGAATGTGTTAAATTTTTTATTAAGATTTTATATACCAAAATACGATAAGACCAATTGATTTTTCGAGTTATTTACTAAATGATAAAGGACACCTAGCTATATTTATTTTTGTCCATATTCGATCGAAATCTTTTTCAAATACGACAATTTATAGTTATGTTTAGAAATTTATAGAAACTACTTAGCTAATACAACAAATTAAAAAAAAAAAAAAAAAAAAAAAAAAAAAATAAGCATATTATTATATTAACATACTTAACCTGAAGTAAAATTTCAACACGGTATTTATATAAATAAGAAAAAGTGGAATGGACTACGTAATTAAATCCCAATGAATACTGTGTTGTTGTGATAAAATTTTAGAAATGAATTTAATTATTCGGAAATTTATTAGCTAGAATGCAATTATTGTAATAATAATAATTATTATTATTATTATAGGTACAATTATTTATAATGTGTGTTGGCCAATTTTTAGTTTTGAATTGAATTAAGTAAAAGGAAATTTGGTGGGTAAACCAAGTACATTATTATAGTTTATGGAGTTACAGGGCTACGAATAAATATAGATTAGTTGATTATTTCCATGGGATATCTGTGCATCGCCTTAAGCTTTTTGTTGTGACCACATTATAGGTCATGGCTAGCGGATCAAATAAACCGAGGACGTACGATCTGTTTATGCGTGTAACTATACGCTTAACTATACATACGTGCCTCGACGAAAAAACCAAAACGATTAATAACAGTTACTAAAAGATCTTTAACAATGTGAATTAATATTATTATTTTTTTTTTTCTTTAAAGAAGTCATGATTATTACGGACAACAATGATGTTTTTTCCCTGGATTTTTTTTGTGTTGTGAAATTAAACCAACATTTTCATCAGGCGCATCTCGTTGTATTGGAAATGAAACGCCGAAGATACTGCATTGATTTTTATCAGCAGTTTCTCGCAACGAAAGGAGAAACTGAGAATAAAATATTTAATTTCTTTCGACAAGTCGGTATTATTATTCGTATTTTACACTGATAAAAATGTGATATTTTAATACAAGTTCCGGAGTTGTTGAGTTTGCTCGAAGAATCGATAGTCAAGGACAATGGGATATGATTATTTTTGATATTAAAAATGTTCGTCATTGGACCAACCGACTTCGAATCTCAACGAACAATTTATTCACGCCTTAGAGTAGAGTCGCCGTACATTTATATGGCGAAATCGGGACGAAACAAACACATTATTGAATAATATAATTATTATTGCTTTAATTATTTTTAATATACTGAGAGGACACCATTAATGTCCGGCAATATAATATTTAAAAATATTTATGTAAAATAAAATATATTAGTTATATATTTCTATGTCTAAATTACATATTATGTTTTATTATGTACTGTTAATCGATTACTATTAAAAACGTACTTTGAGATAAAATCATCGAAATTAAAAATTAAACAATTCAACATTTCCTCTAAACATTCAAGCCGGGACATATAAACATCCACAAACATTTTTCGGGACACCAAGATACGAAGTCCAAGACCGGTGATAATCCCGGTTTTCCGGGATGTATGGCAACCCTATTTTAAATGATAAATCAGGTCCCGTGGTTATAACTTATACAACATAGAGACGATTTATTTATTTTTTTATTTTTATACATTTTTTTTTTTTTATATAAAGTTTTTAAATAACATGCATGAATATTATATTAAAGAAAACCAGTAAAATCTGATGCAACAATCTATAGATATATTGTTTTAATTATAACAATTCAATTTTAAGAAAGTTTCAAGTACAAAAAAAAAATATATAAAAGACAACTCACATTATCTAAACAGTTAATTTTTATTTGATCTACGAAAGAGAAAATGTGGTTTTATGTTGTACCATAACATCAGGTAGTATAAGCAGAGAAACTAAAACATACAAAACCAAATCGAATATCGATTAAATGATATTGCAGTTGAAACTATTTGAAACCTAAAAAGCATTTAGATAATTATTTCAGGCGAATTCTGGATCTATTACTTTTCTAGAAGTCCGGTTATATTAGTAAAAACATTAAGAAAAATTTAATATCTGTTGTTACACAGTCCATAAACGAATAGAAAACAAAAAGTTTTGTTTAGAATAAATTATTATTCACGACGAGTATTGTTTACCAGAATCGTTATCTCTAACAGTTATTTTAACCGTAGCTGATAAGATCTAACAGATGGATAAATATTGTTTAATCTACTTGTATAGTAAAATCACGAAGTTATCAAAAATAATTTGATGGACATTAGTTTCCAAATATTTATGTAGAAGTCTACATATGCGGAATTTAAAAATTATTTCATAATATATTTTGCTACTGTGAAGGTCAAAATACCCGGATTTTTTTAACACACATGCACGATTGAATTATTTCAAGACGTTGCAGACAATCTAATGTGTAATTGTGATCGTTAATCATAACAGGAATTGCATAATGTTTATTTGGAATTAATACTTATAGATTTCTATAAGATAATAATTTATATTCTGTTCAATGTAAGCGCATAATATTACATTATTGATCGTGACTTTTAGAGAAAAATACCTTGTATGCGCAAGTGTAATTAACATCAGTTGTTAATTTTTTTTGTTTTTTGTCTAAATCGTATTGGATACGTGTATAAGTCATAACTAACTTCCGTTATTAAATGATTATAATCACAAATATTGATAGGAATGTAGTTTAGTTAACTACGGTTACCTTATAATCTGTCAGTGCCCATCGAATGTATACCGCTTTAGAAATTGGAATATCAACGCAGTTAAACCTTTCAAAGAACAATTCGGCACAAGTCCCTTTATAATCTGTTCCTACTCCCCTACGATTAAGTTATTCCGTTTAATATCATAATTTTATATATATATATATATATATATATATATAGAGAGAGAGAGAGAATGGAAGGAGAGAATTATGAGCTAAATTACAATAACATAAGTTTCGTGGGTCCATCCCTTGTGCGCCAGCCATACGTGTCCTTTAGTAATAATGCAATTTCCAACACTCAGCAGGGGTGGCGACGCGGCAGATATCATGATTGTCGTACGTGGTTAGTCTGAACTTGACGGGAGGTCAATGAACGTGCTCGAGGGTGTTGTGGACAAAGAGAAGGGTTCTGAAAATCATTTTTGGAGCTGTACAGATTATGTACTCTTGAAAGGATGGAAGGGATGTAATTTCGATCAACCGGCTAACTAACAAGATTCAATTGCGATATGCTTCTCATATTTATAAGTTATAAATGGCAATCTTCCATTTTCAATGGGTTTCAAAATATTTCCCACTCAAGTCTCGGGAATTTATCCTAACATCATTAAATTGTAGTATGCGATTCATTTAAAAAACAATACTTGGCAATGAAGCGAAAAATGTCATTTAAATTTCATTTTCGATGATTTTTTTGGAGAATCATTAAAAAAGTACTGCCTGATTACCAAAATTGTGCAACATAAATTTTTTGAAAATTTGATTTACTAATTATTGAGAACATTTTTAAAACTACCGATTTTATCGAAAATACACACAATTGATTTTTAACTTAGCCATTTGTATAACTCTGCTACTTACATTACCCGATCAATTAGTTATACGACCACGAAAATATATCATGTTCGAGCTTTCGAAATTTTCCGTACACTAAAGATAATTCAAAAATCTCTTGACAATGAAATACTGCGAAGAAAAGAAGAAAAAACTCGATAACCTTTTTTCCGACAACAGGCTCACGTGCGTATAACAGTTACAAATACTTATAATGTCGATATAGCCAAGCATAAGGGTAAACTTTTAGTTCATGGCAAGAACTATGTATAAGACCCTCGAGGGTCCTGCACACGAAAAGCCGTCTTAACGAATGGACGACTAAACCCATTGAAACGGGAATAATTCCGAACGAAGGAGTAGCAGATGGATACAATTGTACAAGGGGTAATACAATCCGGAGTACATTAATCCGAACGAAGGTAGGGTGAAAGCCGAAATGCGAAACTATTTCGCGGAAGTAAGGGATGTGGATCCCTAGCAAAACGTTGTTGGAGCGCGGATAAATCCAAAACGGTTGATTTCTGGAAAATTGAAATCCCGCAAGGGAATAAATCAACACCGAGTGTCTGCGTGAGGAACGAATTTGAAAAGTTTTGACCAGCGAAATAATATAATATTAGACGACGCAATCCGAAGCTAAGTAGCGCATAAAAGAGGATCTCGGCGTTTGGTGCGCATTGCAGTAGATACCGTACGGAAAGCAAAATTTTTTAACACCGCTGAAAACCGTCTGCGGTAACCCACCACCCGATATCCAGCGCACCCTAGTATGGGATATACGGCGAGGATAGGACGCGGACACCACGCGGCTCGTTAGGTTCGGGAACAGAGCATATTTTAACATACAAAATACGTGGTGCTAGTTGACCCCAGTGCTAATTGAATGCTACCCAGTGGCGGCGGGTGATCACCGACCAACACATTCTGATAACGACCGGAGTGACAGGAGTCGATTTTCCCTGTATGTTCCTCCGCAGAAAAACACCACCACGTCGGTAGACGATTCCACTGAAGTTCCACCTCTAGCGCAAACTACTTAAAATACGTTCCGTTCGGGACACACCCGGGGACGCCGACGTCCGACACGGATCGCGCGCGCTTCACGTACCTCGTCCGTCTTGACGTCCACGGCGAAGATCCTGGGCCGCGCTCGGCGCACCGGCCGCTCCATGGTGTTGACCAGCCCGGAGTCGAGCAGCCACAGCACGCCAGTCGGGTCCAGGTGCATGTCGACGGCGTTCTGCACGGCGTCCGGGTCGCCCTCGACGTGCGTCGACCAGCGCGGGTACGGCACCAGCGCGGGCCAACACCTGTCCGCGCCGCCGCAGCCCAACCGTACCGCGGACACGGTGAACGGCACGCCGGGCCGGAACCGCGGCGTCAGCACGAACGCCCGGTCGCCCCACACCTGGGCCCGCGTGCCGATCACGTTGCCGGCCACGTGCACGTTCTCGGCAGCGGCGCACGGCCACTCGACGTTCCGGCCGTTGAGGATGTGCACGGCGTCGGCGCCGCTGTCGGCCCGCCTCGCGACACCCGCGTACACGACCACCGCGGCCACGGTCAGCGCGACGGCCGCGGCCGCGGTGAACCCGGACATCGGGCGCAACGGTGCGTTCGAACGGGCTTAGACGGCGGCGACCGAGCCGTCCGCGAACGCGGCGCTGCACGGCTACGGGAACCGCACCGTACGACCACGGGGCTATGCGGTCGCGTCCGGTCGTGTCGGCACCGCTTCGCGTTATGCCGAAACTTCGCAACGGCTCTCCGTCGACACTCAAACGACAGATAAACGTATGTAAACATTGCTACGCCGTTATCGCTACATACGTGTCGACGTATGTGTTTTTTCTTTCTCGTACGTCTCGCGAAGTTTCGTGTTTTTGTTGGTTTTTCCCTCCGCGCGCGCGTTTTGTTTTGGTTTCTCCGTTGTTTTCTCTCGTCGCGCCCGACCGCTGTTTGTAAATATTTCGTCGGCCGCCAGTGACATTGACTACACCGTCGGTCGCGCGCGCACACCTCTCGTCGACCGAAGGCCAAGGTCTCGACGTGTGTAAGCGGATTTTTCCGTTCGGACCTCCTAAGCGTTATCGTTATTGTTCCTTTTTCTCCGGCCACCGGCTGATCGGCACCGTTCCACCGATCTTCGCGCTTCTCTGCTTTCCGCTTTCGATCGTAGTATGTTTCACGCCCTAGATCCGTAGCCACTTCACTTATGGGTTCGAGTGGGGTGGCCTTCCTCCCCCGTTCTTCACTTCTATCGATCCTTCTGTTGTTCTAGATTATAACGCGGCAGTGTACGTCCAATAAGCTTAACTCTCCGTTTAATCTTCAGAGCTTTGAGAAGTCTCTTACTCCACGAAAAACTTCCTCATCTGTTATACGATCTACCCATCTTATTTTAAGAATCATCCTACATCACCACGCTTTAAAGCATTTTATTTTTCTCATCTTTAACTTATCGTCCACGTTTCACTTGCTACAGTCGTTTCACCGGTACCGATAACGCGTGTTTGTCGGGACGCAAAGGACGCAGAGGCGCTCTGAGAGTTCGGTCGAGACCGCTAAACGTCCTAGCCGTTCCGGTACACCGTCCTTTGTCTACGTGTAGGCCTTAAGGATTTTCAGTTATACACCCCCGAAGTGTTGCGTTCTCGTTTACATCTCGTTGGCTGACGAAAAACCGAAACGGTGCCGTATCGTGTCCCGCGGTCGACCCCGCCGGAGGATAAAGCTTTTGCGCTATAATATATGTATGTTTTGTAGGGCGGTTGCGAACCCCGGCCGAACACGTTATGATATACTATATAAACCGCAATAATAAAATAATAAATGCCCGCGGTCATACCGTTTTCCATTGGCGCCGCTGTCACTTTCATAAACGCACCGACAAACACACACCAAGCACACACGCCGATTTTACCGTTTTTCACACATTCGTTCGCACGGAAAAGGGCTAAACCAGTCAGTCGGATATGACAACTAGTGCGCGTATATTTATATGTGTGTTGCACGTTCTCGCGAACAATAACAATATAAACAATATAACACGACGAAAACCGTACTTTCGAAAAGTGCCTTGTTTTTTTTTTTTTTTTTTTTTTAATATTATTTTTCGGACACACGCGTGAGCGTATTATTAATGTACGTACGATTTTTGCAATCGCAAAAACGAAACGAAATTTTCAGTGCACGACCGTTGCGACGATTAAACTCGATAAAAATGAAGTGTGCATACATTTTTGCTCGAGTTGACAGCAGCGGTTCGTACACACGAAACATTCGTATAATCTTATCCAAGTAAGACATGACGATCGAATAGCGATCTTCATTAGTTAAACGTACGGTTGTGTGGTACACGGTTAGTTTACACGTAGTTAAACGTGCAGATCGGAACGGTTGTTTCCTTTTACGCAAGATCAACGGCATAACAATTCTTTAGAGTACGATCGATGCCGGTTCGACATTGTGCTGCAAAACTACTGGGAGTATAATTAATTTAATAATATATAATTTAGCGCGGCGTTGCAAACTCGTATTGTTACAACACATGTAGAACAATAATGAGAATTCACGTCGCCCGGGAAATATAAATCTAAATCGCGTAAAAAATATTATTTTTGGACAGCCGTTCGCCTAATATGCGACTGTGTGTAATACGCGACCGAGTCTCGAAACCGTTTTCGATCAGTGTTGTGGATCGTGTCAAGCTCACGGCGGCGACACGACACTGGTAATGGATAATAAGTACCGCGCGTGCTTATTAGTGCATCGGTATGTGTACGTATCTGGAAGGCAAGGCCCCTGTATCAAACGATTGCGGTGTTGAACGAGCAAAACCGTTTACAAAGCCGCTAAAAATTTACATTTCTTGAACTTTTCCATGTTTGACATATTATTGCGTTGCGTTTGGAGCACGCGCGTGGACTGGTTTACGCAACAACAATGCACCTGTTATTGTTACCTCGCGGACACGCCCTACAGGTATTTTTATGTTTTAATATCGTTATACTTTGATGACGTATTCGACGAGAGTCGACCGATAAATCTATTATATTGGTTCCTTCGCTTGTATAATATTAAAAAACGCGCGACTTAAAAAACACACGAAACGTACACCAACGAGCTCCGTAGCAATCGCTGTTACTACACTCACATGACTAATGACTGTGGAAATGACGACTGAGTTCGTTTCGACGTAACAATCGGTCAAAACGCGTGAAGGAAACCAGATGGACGCAGACGATCCAGCTTTTACTAATGCCCTCGAAAGCATGGCTGTCGAATTCACATCGTTCGTATAATGAATATAAACGAATGAAAATATTAATTACTTATTAATCATTAAAATTAATTACCCTCGGTACACACCATCGAGCATTTAAAATAGCATGTATAAAAATGTAATCAAAAAAATTATTATTCAAATCATTATACATTCTACATACCTATACACCTATACGTGTACTCAAAGTTTTTTGTAATGCTTGATTACGACCAAACACGGTTTTGTTAAACTCCGATCTATTCAGATAATTTAAAGCAGCTCATGTGTATTCGAGTATTCAATCTTTTAGCCTTCAAACGTGTTCGTGCTTAAAATTACAGGAGAATGTTTGAATCGTTTAAAACGGTATTGATGATTTCAAGAAATTCAATATCGTTACATTCTATAATTATTAACAATAAGAGGAAAACAATTAATCGAAATGCCCTGAAACCATGACGATCAAAGCCTCCAATTTATACGAAATTTAAAAATAAAATCATTAATGAGTGTTAAACGACAACGTTATGACGTGATAAGCGTTTAAACAAATATCTGTTTTCCACATTTTCCTATTGGCCGATCTGCGCAACCTCGTATAGTCCTTTGATAAAAATAAATCATACACGTAGCGAAGAAACATTATACGAACATTAGATAGGTTAGGAAAATATAATTTACATATCATACGTACGGTTAAAGAACGGGGTTATTAATGGGGAGGATAACGAAAAAAGAATAATGCAATTACTGTGAGCGCACGAAGATATATTCAATCATCCATTGGGCGTGCACGTTATAGTTCAATTACTAATACGTATAAATGATTATATTTGGTATAAATTACGTACGTAGACCAATCGAACTATTCGCGAATGCGTTTTATGCGTTTTCATGGCGGAAAATACAACGTTTTTTACTCCCTGCGCGAGAAACGTGTCCGTGATGTAACCTATGTTCAACATGTTTGGTAATGGGATTAGTTTTTTTTTTTTTTTTTAGCGGCAGATAAAGTCCATGACTTCAGTGGAACGTAATGATGATATCGCTTGTTTTAAAAAGTACACGAAACACGGACACGGTGTAAGTGTGAACTCGAAGTAAAAAGCGAAAAAATGCATAACGCCGTGTAAATGTTAAACACCAATGCACATTTAGAACGAGAATCGTCGGTAACCACTACGACTGCAGCGAAAGTTACGACCGCGACCATCCGACACGCAACTGGCATACTTTAAGTATTACACATATGTTGTTTATCGATACGTTTAAAAGCCATAAAAAGGATTGTAAAATCTCAACGGGACTGCAACGATGTTCCGCGTCGACCACCGCACGCACGAACTTGTACGACTTGATGTATGCGTGTAACGCGTATTACCAGGTCCCTTGCGCGCACTTTTGACTTCAAACGATTTATTAGCAAAATATGAATACCGTACCATGATGATCAGAACTCGGATTTATAAATCACTAAAAAGTACCGAAATATGCAATGTTTTAGAGCCTAGATTGTTTTAAAAACAAACGCCATCAATTGCCATAAAAAAAAATATGAAAAATAGCGAAAAAAATACTTTTTTTCTTCTTCTGTTTCAACGATTTAAAAAGAAATCTATTCATAAAAATTTTAAAAAGAAATAGGATTCTTCTATTCCAGTCACTATACTGTTTTCTATAATATTAATTTAAATTACTCACAAGGTTTTTGAAAAATACGAAATAAACTAAATTTAATAGATGGAAGAAGAACATAACTGAAGTTTGTTGAATTTCTAAGAGTATGCAAAAATTAACAGAATCAAATTTTAGAATTGAAATGCTAGACCTGTAGGATAAATATATAGCTAACTCTGTCAATTTTTATCGGTATTCGGTTATTATTCGCAAATGCTATAGATCTGAATCTTGGTGGTGATAGCCGCAATGCCTTCCACGTAGGTCCTAAAGGATTGCTTATCATCCGTCACTATGCGTCTGCGACAATACGGGCCAACGAGTTTTAAATAAACCTTGTGCGCAAGAATCCGCTACAAATTATACAAATTACTTTATTATTGTATTATGTACAACTAAAACCGCGGTAGTCAGCCATCGAAAGAATCAAAACTTAAGCTAATGTAAACCGATGAATATAAAAATTATCAATTATTAGATAGCGTTTTAATGAAATATACGGTTGTAATTATAATCACGAGTACCGTATAGTTATTTTTCGTACATAGCTTTTGGTTACGAACCATGTCCAATTACGAAAAAACGATTGTTCCAAATATTTAAACTAAACATTCCTCGTGGCGGCAAGCCTGTCAAAAATTGAATTTATTAATAACATCGTAATGCTACAGATA